AGAGCAATGAACTTCCACATTTTGAGGATGCAACAGTTAAACCTGACTCTCTGAGGATGAACAACCAACTCCCTAAAAGTAGAAATGCTGATTAAAATCTGCTAAAGTTTGAGGTGCAGCTGACTGACACTTTCAACAATATGCTAGATAAAAAGTATGTGTCACCATCATCAGAGAATAAAAGTGCAGAAATGTTCCACTGATGAGTCAAAGCAGACACATTTTAAAAACATAGATCCTTTATTAAAACACATGCTGCTACAGTTGTCCGTAAAAACAGCTGCTTTTCAAACCACTGACATCATCACAGTGGGAGGAGTTACAGTAATCATAATAACGACCGGGACGTGTCACACCTCCTCGTACTGATTATTGAGCTCCACAGGAATACAAAACCACAGGAAGCTGCATCGACGCCCTTTCAAAATAAGAATCCCAAAAATAAAATATGAGTCGAATCATCACTCGGGGGGATTCTCAGTCCAACTTTTTACACTCCTGTCAGTCCAGTGAGCTCGCCTTGATCACAGACGCTGGTTGAATGCTGTAACAGCGCCCTCCCCTCCCCCCCCCAAAAAAAACACACACACACAAATCCCACTGATTTTTTTGCAACATCAGACTCCAAAGTTTGACCGTCTCTTCCTTCCTAATGTTTGAAAGAAGAGAAACAGAACATGATGAAGCAACGACCCGGAGGGAGAAACTAAAAAAATAAAGGACGAGGAGTCATCCAAACAGTCGACATCTTGAAGTGGAAACCAGACCTCTCCTGTGGTGTGGTGACAAAAACAGATTTGACTGAACCACTGAACTCGAGCTGTTTGGATCTGATTAAAGCCGCTCTGCTGAGACACTGGATGCTTCACGTCCAACGTTTTTCACGTCCAGCTGATTTCTCCATTTTGACTCTTTTTCTGCTTGAGGGGCTTTAAATGTTCGGCTGCTGTTTGGGAGGAAAGAAAACTATTTTGTTTACGTCATTCAAACATAAAAAGCTTTTATTTGTCCAGGGAAAGATTCTACGGAAGCCTTAATAGGACATCCATCCACACATTGTATTTAATCCATCTTCCCACAATATGATTCACTTCCTGTTTGTTAGACATCAAAACTGGCTCTCTCGTTAATCTGAGTTGTTTTCTCAAGATCTCGACTTTCTCGTCATCACAGGATATCAAAGCTGTTTTTTTCCCGTCATAGTGGAATAACTTCTCTCATAACGTTGAGATAACAGAGCTGGTTTCCTCATGATTAAAGGGATATTTTCTATCAACTTTAAAAACCAATTCAGACCGCCGATACTAATGCCTCTGTGCTGTTTCACCTTCAATCTGAATGTTGTGGCGTAATTGGGGGACAAATAGAACCGTCCTCTGAACCGACTTTGGTAACAGAGGCGTTACAGCTGAGTCAGCGAGGTGTGTGTGTGTGTGTGTGTGTGTGTGTGTGGTGCATACCTGACTGTGTGTGTATGTGGAGCTCCCGCTGTGCCGCGCTTCTGCAACGTCGAACGCAATGAGACTTCACAGACACTAATATGACGCCGTCGCAGAATCAGTGAGAATGCACAAAGACGTGATGACGGCTATTTTTGTTTTTTTGTTGAGAAGTTGAGACCTCGAGAAAACAATCAGAGATTACTCGTTATCACGGGGAAATGGAGTGAATACATTGCATTGATGCGTGTCGATCTTTCACTCGTCTCGCTCGGTCTTCTCCACAGCTAATGTCTGCTAACGGTGTTTATAAGAGAGACCGGAGTTACTGAGATGAAATTATGAAGGCTGCTGATTTGAGCGTGAAGAGATTCAAGGTATCCTTAACCTCAAATGTCCAGCGTGTAAAAAGTTCCCTCGTGTGGCTCAATATAGATCACATTAACAGGAGAGTAGGTGAAGGGCGGACATGATTAGAGAAACGTGGTATCAGCACTTTGGGAACAAATCAAAAGGCCATAAAAACACCTGCTACAAACACAAGATGTTCTTTTTTTTAAAAACAAATCCTTCTCATTCAGAGTGATCGAGTACAATCAAAGAACCCGAACCCAAACCTTCTGAGCGAACAGATTCAACAAGTCAAACCAGAAACACAATAAAGAACACATTCAGTCACAAAAAGCAGCTTCCAGTCGCTACATTGACGTTCAGCGTTTCCTGTTGTTGTTTTTAATCGTCTCTACGTCCATGTTTTAAACTGTTGTTTGGGGAAATGTCGAGAAGAGGAGTGTCCGTGTTTGTCTTTTAATCCAGAGAGTCCGTTGTTTTTCGTCTGTTTTGTAAAATGTAAATGTTGAATCTGCTTTTGTGAAGATCCAGAAAACACTCAAACATCATCCAGAACATCTGAACATCTGCGTAAGTCTTTCCTGAAGGAAGAAATCCAAAGATATGTTTCCACTTCAGAGCGTTAAACTCTTTGTCTGTTCCTCTGTGAGAACTTTGAGGAAGTCTGAACAATCAAAGCAGCTTTGTGCTTCTCCTGAAAGCTGATGAACACTAAAACCTCCGATTCAGATATGAACACTACGAGCTGGTTGTTTGGTGCCAGAGGTGGAGATGTGAGAGTCAGGTCTCTCTCTCTCTCTGGGCTGTGCTATGGTCCACTGCTGGCCAAACATCAGAAACATAGAAAGGAAAAGTCAGTGAGGATGGCTCCGTCTGGATCTACACAGAAGAGCTGCGAGTTCTGAGCGGCTAAAAACTGGGCGAGTCGAGCTATCTGATCATTTCTGTCTTTGCAGATTTAAAAAAAATGTGATTTGTTTTTGTGTAGATCGAGCCACAAACAGCCTCCTCCTCCATGTTTTGAAGAGTGGAAGACGAGGATTTCTGTGTTTTCTTTTTAGTCTTAGTCTGCTGTCTCGCAGGGCGTGCATAGCTCACTGTGGGAATCAAAAAGCCAGGATATGATGACGTCTGTAAGGTTTTTCTTTTGTATGTTGGCAACAAACAAACTTGTTCAGTGAGCGTGAAACATTCAAAGAAAAAGAGATGAAACAATCAAAAGACAGAATTCAGAAACAATCCCGAGCTCGGACTCCTGAAGTCCTCTGGATTACAAATCATGAGACAAAAACAAGAGAAGAAGAATGAGGCAACGTTTACAGACATGTAAAGATCCTCTCTGCTCCGTCATATGGGACGTAGAAGTTGCACCAGGCAGGTTTCTTATTAGCATTCAAAGGTACCCAGTGAAACACCTTTGTATGGCTGCTCGCTGTCTTTCTGTGGATCTGTTGGTGCCATTTTAAACTTCCTCCACCGAATCATGAAAGGACCAAGAGCATCAAACCAACAGAGAAGGCTCATCCCTGTCCTGGTTACAGCTTAAGCCGGGCGTACTCTGTATGATTTCAGGGGATTTAGAAAAGATTTTTGAGTCTTAAGATGGTCGGATGTTTTTCTTGCATGTTTGATATTTTGGTCGTACATTAGCACGTTGACATTAGAGCGACGAGTCGATTCCCTGACTTACTTCCGAACTCTTTTCCTGACTGTGTCTGCACATGAAGTGACAGACAATGTCCAAAATCACCATGGCAACAGCAGGCATGCCTGTTTAATCTGTCCTCCACCAATCATGAAAGAAACATCGGCAGGAAATATCAGCTGACCTCCAGCTGACAGGGAACATTTGTTGTGATTTTGTTGCTCGTGTATTTCGGTGATGCTGAGTGTGTGAGAGAGACGAGAGGCTCTCTCTGCTGGTGTGTGTATTTGAGCCGTGCATTTAAGACAGCTGACATACACTCACATCTATCGACAATTGTGAATGGCCCGTCCTGATGTAACTCGTACAGCTTGAGCTCTCAGGTTGTAGCCTACAGATGAGCACATAAATCGTGAGCTGTGGTTGTGCGTCGTAAACGATTCAGTCGTTCAGAGTGAGCTGACATCCCAGCTGACTTATACAATCTCACAGTGTACGCCGGGCTTAAAAAACATTGTTCCAAAAGCACTACTAGAGCCTTCACAAAGTGACTTTTTGTCTTCTGTCACATTGATGTTCGATCATTTCCAGACAAAAACCTGCCTGGTGCAGCTTGGATGGACAGAGATGTAACACCAAAAAACAGACTTTACTTCAAGGTAATCCTTCAGATGAAGACTAAAGAAGTGGAAAGTGAAAAAGTTTCATCATCACTTCACTTAAAGTAGCCTTTTGAATTTATGGATGTTATCCTGGAGGGGCTCGTCTTTGTTCACTTAAACACATCTGACTGTAGAGTTGTCTGAAGGCTTCTCCCTGTACACTACATTCTGTGGATGAATCAAACATGAATAAAACGTCAAACCTCTGAACTGTGTCTGCGTTCGACAGTGTGAGAAGAACCGATGCTTTGATATGTGATGTTCTTCTCTCTGAGAGTGTTTCTCTCATTTCAAGCTTTAACAACATTTACTGCCTCATCCTTGATATCAGCGTGACGGGAGATCTCAAGCTGAGAGATTCATCGAAGGCCTCAACAGGAGAATCCGAAAAAAAACACACAAAAAAACACAATCAAATTCAAACTCGATTGGATTTTTGGACGGTTCAAACACTCGTGGCTTTCCTGTCCCTCTTTTAAATCTCCTGCTCAAAAACTGAAACTGTGGAATACATCATGAAAGAACTGTATGACGTTAAACTTCACTGCTTTGATTCTTCAACATAAAGCAGAGCGGATGATTACCCTCATGTTACAGAAGAACAAAGAAATAAGTCTGTTTAATTGTTTAGATCACAACATGATAGGTCTTAATAACACTTTTAAAACTCATTTTGTGACCAATAAGACACCTCAGAGCTCTGATTGGCTGTAAGGCTGCAGTCCGGACACGCTGACAGTATGCACAGAGCCTCTGCCAAATAAATCTGTCTTCAATGGAGCGTTTAGTTCTCACTTAGCCATCGACATCTGTCTCCACTCCCGGTCTGCCTCTCTCTGAGGACTAACCGGCTGCAGCTGAACTCCAGATGTGAGGACAGCTGGATGAATGTGTGACACAAACGAGTCGCCTGCAGCTGAGTTTGGCCGAAGCTCTGCTCACCTTCTGCTGGCCCTGTCTCACCACTAAAACCTGCAGTGAATCGTCTCCTCGTCAACCACAGTTGTCGTGAGTGACTTGTTTTGGCTTTAGAGAAACTGATTTGTGCTCAAACCTGCTCTCTCATCTTTGTCTAGAGCCGGGGGTTCCTAAACTTTCTGAACGCTCTGGTAGAGACATAGAGGTGTTCATGTGTTTAGTTTTGTGTCAACAGAGGGAGAAAGAGTGGAGCAGAAGAGGAAGAGGGTGGGGGGACAGGAGGTTTGCCGCAGTGCTCTAATGATCGCCCTCTGATCTCCTGCAGTGAATCGTCTCCTCGTCTCCTCCTCTCCTCTCCTCGTCTCTTTTATCCCTCTGTTTCCTCTCCATCCACTCTCTAAGGCTTTGATTTCCCAGCATACTTTATTGAACGTCCTCTTCTTATTCTAGCCTCGCCCGCTCTGATCAGTCGACTCTACGATGTCTTTGGGGGGTCTTTTATTTAAGCACAAACTCAGTTTTTAAATATTGTTTATAATCCTTTTGATCAGGACAGTTAGTTTCTTTTTTAGGCACGACTCAGAGACACTCAGTCTCTGAAGGATTACTGAAAAGTTTGGATAAATCTACTGTCAGGACTCAACAACTCTCCTCCCGTCAGTCGATTTGATCCGGGTTTAAATCGGTAGAACTTCTTCTGAACTTGAGGGTAAGTTCTAAAGCTACTCGGTTGAAAAGTGTCAGAGCGGTTGTCAGGAACTCTTAGTCCGTTCAGTGACCACCTTTAGGTTTAAAAACCAGACCCCACTGTCACATTCTGTCTTGAGTTTCTAACAAGTTCTTTCAGTTCCTGCTCACAAAAGCTCTTTTTTTGTTTTTATCATCCACCTGGTGTGAGTAAAATCCAGCCGAGTTTCTCTCCGTGCTGCAGTGACTCCTCTCCTGAAAACACGGGGTGGCGGGTCTCGGATCAGGGTGGATATGAAGGCAGGGTGGATTGAAAGAAGACTGTGAGGTGAAGCAGGAGGATCAGATGCGGATCTGGTATCCGTCGTTCAGAGTGCTGAGCTCCGGAGGTTTCCTCTCCACCGACGCCGGCCTGACAGAGAGAGAGAGAGAGAGAGAGAGAGAGAGAGAGAGAGAGAGAGAGAGAGAGAGAGAGAGAGAGAAGAGAGAGAGAGAGAGAGAGACAGAGAGAGAGACAGAGAGAGACAGAGAGAGAGAGAGACAGAGAGAGAAATAGAGAGACAGAGAGAGAAATAGAGAGATAGAGAGAGAGAGAGAGAGAGAGAGAGACAGAGAGAGAGAGAGAGAGAGACAGAGAGAGAGAGAGAGAGAGACAGAGAGAGAGAGAGAGAGAGAGAGAGAGAGAGAGAAGACAGAGAGAGAGAGAGAGAGACAGAGAGAGAGAGAGAGAGAGAGAGAGAGAGAGAGACAGAGAGACAGAGAGAGAGAGAGAGAGAGAGAGAGAGAGAGAGAGAGAGAGAGAGAGAGAGAGAGAGAGAGAGAGGGTTAACACTCACTGAATACATCCTTAACTTTCTCCATACTAACATTAACTCACATCGCTCATTAATCATCAGGTTGTTAACATATCAGACTCTTCGTTTAGCAAAGCTTTCAAACTTTTTCAGGGCTTCTGTTGTCACCAGCGGTTAGCGATGAATGACTTCCAGCCACGTCCTACTTCTCCGTGTGTTTCACTTTTTTTTTTTGAGTCCCGATGCAACTTGAGAAGTTAGACTTGAGTCGGAGTTGAGAACACATTTCTAAGAGGAGATTGATGGCTGCAGTTGCACGCAGACGTCGGTTTAAAAACATGAACGAGAGCTGAATCTAGGGCTGCTTTTAAAATATCGATTTTCCCAATTCAATATTGATTCAGGGGAAATCTTGAGATACATTTTTTTTGTTGTAATGCCGCCCCTTTTCCACTGGGGGCACTGTTAGTGCTGTGAATTCATTCACAGGCACAATCGTGAAACTTTAGATCACACTGTACTTTGATGTTTTATTCTTTGTTTATTAAAGAATAATGCAACGATAAAATACATTTTAGAGTCAGTTTGTTTTAAACAAACACAAACAATGCTCACATCATTATTTAACAAACATCAGAAGGTACTGCGATGACTTATCTGGTATTCCTGTCATCTGTTTGGATTAATAAATCGATATCGAATCATATTGATCGATATCAAATCAGTTTGCAAGGACAACTTTAAAACAGAAGTGTATTTCTGTCATTGGAATTAAATTGTGGAATTCTTTAAATAATGATTTGAAGGAAATTTCAGTTTAAGAAAATGTATAAGAACAGAGTGATCAGACTGTATGCAGTTGGCAGTTAGTGTATTCTGTGTGTGTTTTCCGTCTTATTTCTGAGGAAGTGAAGACTGAATTATCAGATTTGTTTTATGTTGGCATGATATTCATTCATTGATTGTAATTTGGACAGAACCATCCAGATATTTATAGTTTGCTTTTTGAGTAAGGGGGGGGGGCAGGCAAAACAAGATGTATTCTTCTCCCTGCTCCTTTCCGTACATGGGACAAAGTGTGAATTGTTTTTTACTTTTTCTGTTGTGTGTTTTGACATGTACAGAACAAATAAAAAAAATAAAAAATGAATCGAATCGTGACCCAAAGAATGGAAATCCAGTTGAATTGTGAGGTTGTGGACAACACCCAGCTCTAAGTGAATCGTTGTAAGATAATCACTGACGGTTACGTTCTACCTCTCAGCTCTCCTCGAGTCCGTTAATAAACACTAAGACACTCACATTGATGGCTGTTTTCAGTTTATCTCTGTATGTTGTAACTGTCCTGAACAAATAAACGATACATAATAATACTAAAAATAATAAAAACCAAAAGACCAAAATATCTAACCCCTCTCTGGATAACAGCGCCGTGTCATCGTGGAGGAAAGCGACTTTCAAAGGTTCTGTTGTTGAAGAGATTATCTGACGGAGCCGAGAGCGTCGGAGTGTATTTTAAGTTTCAACATGACCGTGCTGTGACAATCAAGGCGTTTCAAAGAGAGGAGGGCCCTGGGTTGTTATTGTGCAAAGGAATGTTTACTTGTGTCTAAAAAGAACCTCAAAGTGACTCACACTGAGTCCAGAAAGCTCTCCTCACCGTCCATAACTTTAACAAATATCATCAGTTTAATATCGTTCATGAGTTACAAAACGACAAGAATCTGACACAGAGGTTTTTATGTTTGTTTTTCTGGTTTGAGTCAAACATGCAGAAAAAACAGCAACATTCAACTAGAAACTAAAGATGTCACCCAAGCCGGATAAAACTGTCATAAATGTTGTCTGAAGAACAAACTGAATCCACGTTCTGAATCTGGAGGGTGAAACATGGTGAGAAAAGTTTGTGTAAAAAGAAAAATGTTAGTCTGCAGAGAACCTTTGACGTCTAGAGAAGGAGAGGAGGAGAGAAGGAGAGGAGGAGAGGAGGAGAGGAGGAGAGTGAAGAAGTAAAGGGAGAAACAGATTCCACTCTTTCATTTTGCTCAAAGAATCCGATTGAATCCTCTGTGATATTTCCTCTCTCCTTTTCCCCCCTCCTCTTTTTCATTTTTCATCATCTTCTCTTTCTTCCCTCACTCTTTTCTTCATCCTTCCACTTCAGACATTTCTTAGACTGAAGCTTTCCATCTCTCTCTCTCTCGCTCTCTCTCTCTCCTGACACATCAAGGAAAAGAGTTATTTGTTGAAGCCAATCTGCAGAACCTCCTCTTCTCTCCATTTACCATTTCTTCCTGTCTTGCTGTTTCCAGGCCCTCTCTCTCGTGTCTCTCCTCTCTTCTCTCCTCCCTCCTCTCCTCTCTCTCCTCTCCTCGTGTCTCTCCTCTCTTCCCTCCTCCCTCCTCTCCTCTTGTGTCTCTCCTCCTTTCTCCTCTCCTCCTTCTGTCTTCCTCTCTCCTCTTGTGTCTCCTCTCTCCTCTTGTCTCTCCTCTCTTCTCCTCCCCTCCTCTTGCGTCTCTCCTCTCCTCTTGTCTCCTCTCCTCTCCTCTTCCCCCCTCCTCCTCTCCTCTCGTGTCTCTCCTCTCCTCTTTCTCTTCTTGCCCCTTTTCGTTTCTCCCTCATTTCCTTCTATCACTCTTCTTGCTATCTTAAACTTTCTTGTTTCTTTGCGTTCTTTCACTGTATCTAAGTGAGGAGCTGCTCATTGCATAAAGTTTTCATGTTTTCATTCCCTTCACTTCCTGTGCTGTAAAGCAGTTTGTACCGTGTGCTGCTGAAGCGTGTGGGAGTCGCAGCAGGTTATTACAGCGTGTCTCTGTTGAAGAGGCAGCACGTTGTTCAGTGTCTAAGTGCTCTGATGATTACAGTAATAGCTTTTTAAGTACCACGTTCAGCTGCTTTAAAGAGAGGCAGTGTACTGTTTCTGTGAACTGATGACATTAACTTTTATAAAGATTAAAATAACCACGAGTCTGACTGAACCCTGAGGGGAGAAGAAGCTGATGAAGCTCATAAAGAAACTTTTTCAATGTTAACGTCTCATTTGACTCAACAGACACACGGTCCTTTTCTCTAACATACTTCTGGTAGGCCCCGGGTCCACCTAGCGCTTTTCTTTCTGATCGCCAACATCTTTTTTTCAGGTGTTTTCAAAGAGGAGAGAGCGTTGGCAGCAGCAGAGAAAAAACGCAGAGCTCAGCGTCTTTTTTCCTTCCTTGAGCGGCCACTCCAAGTTAAAAAAAAAATCTTTCAGATTCTCAACTTTTCAGAAGGTTGCTGTTGATGCACTGGCGCTCTTTTTAAAATATTTTTTTTTTTTTTGTCTCCTACAGATCGTGCCCTGGACCCCCATCCTCCTCGCTCCGTGTTCAGACAGTATCCTCCGTTTGAAGCTCATGGTGAAGGGGGAAAAAAAGATCTCAAATATAAAACATCCAGAGAACAACAGAGCATAGTCGGTCATACAGAGGCTGTTGTCATAGAGACAAGACGCACGTGCAGCACAAGCGCTTCATCCAATCGCTCCAGAGCGCACAGCCAGCACTTTTTTCCCCCCAGGTGGACACAGGGGCCTTCACCGGCCCGAGGGCAGATCGAAAAGTAAAGTGTGATAATGAGTTTTAGCTGTTTCACCTCGTCACTGAACCAGATCATAAAAAATGAATGTCCTTCAGAGGATGAATACTGATGACAGGAAGTGAGATCACGAAAAACTACAAGGCTCAAGTTGACCTGAAGATCAGACTGGATTTACAGGATTTCATTTCACATATTTATGAACGTGTGAAAAAAAAAAAAAGCCAAACTAATGTGTTCACTTTTCCTCCTGTGACAGTTCAAGGTGGACATAATACATCTGATTCGATTCCTTTATTTACTGTAATATGTTAAAACAAGTTTAAGCAGTTTGAGGAGCACATTATTGTTTATATATTAAAGCAACAACTTCTATTGTCTCTTAATTCATTAATAAACAAGTATTCTGAGTTTATTATTTTGTATTCAAAATGTAGAAAAATTTGAACGATAGAAATACAATTCCATCACTGTTTGAAACGTTAGAGGGATAAATGAGGATGACACAGAAAATCTCTTAATTTCCAATAACTGAAACAAAAAATAACAAAAAATAGTGTTCTATTTTCTATCTGACGGACTTTAGGACTTTATGTTTAGATACGGTACAAATGATATGAAATGATATGTTGGGATTCTTTTTGTGATTTGTTGTGTTGACTGATCTTAAACCAGCTCAGATGTACATAATTTAAACTCCTCACGGGAAAGGTCAGCACAGTGCCACGTCAAATGGCAACAGCGGGAAGACGCTAATTCTGGTGCAGCGTTCGTGTGTGTGTGTGTGTGTGTGTGTGTGTGTGTGTGTGTGTGTGTGTGTGTGTGTGACGCTGCAGTACGGCTGGTCTGCAGCTGTTGTCGGATTGTGTTACATCCCACCACACAGCTGACAGACACACACATAAACACACTCAGCGTCCTGCATGTGTGTGTGTGTGTGTGTGTGTGTGTGTGTGTGTGTGTGTGTGTGTGTGTGAAAAGTTTTCCTGCCATTGAAGCGGAGTGTTGAGTCACCCTGTTTTGAAGAGCTGCTGCTCACTCTGAAAGAATCTCCTGCACCTGGTCTTTAACTGAAGGTTCAACACACTGTCTCGTCCGGCCCGGTGGAGATGGAAGGTATTACTTTTGTTAGATTATATGACTCAATTTATCCTTTTTACTAGTTTGACACGGCTTCAAAGCAAGGCGACAGATTCATAAAGGTGTGTGAACATGTGTCTATTAAGACTAACTGTAATTTCAGGAACGAGTACACTATAATCGATTAAAAAGATCCAGTTGTTCGAAAAATGTTTGGACCACATTACTGCCAAATGAAAGAGCAGCTCCCACAGATTCAAACAAGACCTTGTGTGGTATTGTAATAGAGTGTGTGGTGAAGAGAGAGCAAAGAAACTTTAAATGTTCTGATTTCTCAATGGGGTTTGGTGCTGTACGGTCCTCTTTTTCATTCTGTGTGTGGATGAGTGTTTTCTCGCTGAATCAGAGGCCTGACATCCTTCCTCTAAGTCAGACAGAGGAAGACACACACACACACACACACACACACACACACACACACACACACACACACCATGATGACAACCCCTAGAGTCAGCTGAACAGAACAAGGGCTTGTCTGATGGGCGATAATGCTGAGCTGTCAGCAGCAGAGACTTGAGATATAAACTCTCCTTGACCTGAGGAGCAGAGCGGTGAAGAGAGAGAGAGAGAGAGAGAGGGACACACACACACACACACACACACACACACACACACACACACACACACACACACACACACATGAGGGATAAACTCCCACATCCACTATTCAAACACCGGTGATCTCACTGGGTATTTTCTCATGAGCTGCTGAAACTGTCTCAAGCAGGAAGTAGAAAAGTGATTAAAAAAAAAAAAAAAAAAACACTCACGATTTGTCTCTGCGATGTGCGAAGCGTCGCTGGGGACTGATCTGTCGTCGGCGTGGCGATAAGGATTTCCCCCGGCTCCGCTCCTTGATTGGTGACTGGGCACTGGATGATTTGAGGATCTGAAGAAAGAGAGTCACATGAAGCAGCAATCATCAATCTCACTATTCTTTCCCTCTGCTCAAATAAAGAGCAACATATGAAGATGTTTTTTAGCCTGTTTTAGCTCTTTGTTTTGGCAGTATCATTTTTCCACACAGTTCAGTCTCACTTATAAACCAGCTATAGGCTCCTCCTGTTCAGCACCAAACAGCTGCTGAAGATTTGACTAACTGGTGAAAAAAGTCAAGTTATTTTGAGGAGATATCATGATTGGACAGACGCTGGGCTGCTACATTAAAGCACCAGTATGTAGGACTTGCCTTGGTGCACTTTGGCGCCCACCTAAGGTCTCTGAGTGTGACTGCACCGTCTGACAGCTTGACGGAGCCGTACACACGAGATGTACTCGACCCGCT